CTTAGAATTTACGCCGGGTAGCCGTAGAAAAACCTTAGGGAAAGTAATATGAAAGAAAATCAGCTCATAAAGTGTGAAATTTAACGCGACCCATACAGTGAATAGGGTGAAAATTGTGTCCAAAAACAGCTCCCCTGCTTCGGGCTGCCCATCACGTTGGATTTCCAACATTCACCTTCTCGAAGATTCATTCCCGAGCCTGAGCTCCGTTTGGCTGAGGTTCTATGAAAACCTGATTTCGATCGATTTCCATCCATCCTTCTTATATGACCAAAGGAAGGGGCTTTAATTCAAAAGATGCTTTGGAAGTAGAAGTCAGAGCCGCTTCTTCATATCAGTTCGCACCATGATGCTCTTCAGTTTACCTATCTCAGTAGTAGTACTGATAGCCCATAGCTTCTGGGTTCGTTTCCCATCGAGCTCTAGACGCTGGGTTAAGGGTTGACGCAGTGTTCGGCAACTCAATCCCACGTAGTGCCCAGCACAGACTAGCTTCCTTGATCTGAAACTGATATGCTCCACGAGCTCTCATTCAGTCACACCCCATTCTGTGACCTGAAATCGATCCTCTTCCATTCAAAAACCGAATCGCACTCTTGTAACTGGACACTTGGCGGTTTCAATTTCGTCGCGACTAGTTTTTTCCTGGGCTTCTGCCACTTCGTCGAGGGCTTCCAGCCTTCTGGGTGACTTCAACTGGAAGGTATTCACAACATCACCCGATTCAGTTTACCTAGAAACTAGGCAGTTGCCTTGGTCGATGTGGTCGGTCGGTGGTGGGCAAGCTGGGCTGAGCGTCGGCGCAAGCCGTAGGGAGGAGGTGGAGGGGAGGGCGTAACCTGAGCCGTTGCGCTCACTGACGATGCAAGCGTACGCGACACCGGCCGCCGGCGCCACAGCTCGAATTCACACAATCCCGTAAGGAATATCGCTTTCAACTTCGACTCTATTCGCAACTTATGGATCAGGTTACCGTTACGCCCCGTGATCCCCTTTCCCCGTCTCTTGCCAGCTAGCCCGTAGTCCAAGTCTCTTGAGCCTGTCTGTGTGCGTGTGCGTGTGTGTGAGTATGTGGGTGTTGTCGCGGATTTCAAGTGCTTCAACACCGTCACTGTAGAACCACTTCGCCGTTGGGTGCTGAAAAGACTACTTGTGAATGTGTAAATTCTCATCTATCGGCTAGAACTCATCGTATTTCAGCGCCACCACTTCGTATTCCGAGCAAGAGGTGTCCTGTATCTGTGAGTCGCTGTTCAACGAAGGCCTACAGACTGGACGGACGGAACAACTGGTATTTCGCTTTTGTTTCTTCGTTATTTTCCTTGTCTCAGTACATCATCACCTTCCTTTCTTCAACTCTTTTAACCTCAGTGATTTGTCGCTATCATCAATCAATATCGTTCATCATCGCTCATCTGTCAGCGAAACTGAGTGACGAACATGATAGACGGCTGTCACTTCGCTTATTATTACAGTATACCTGAACGTCAGCCGTGATGTACGAGCAATTGTTCGCGACATGTCGTTGGCTAAGAGCTACGTTAAAACAGAGCCGAAAAAGTGATATTCTGCAAGGAATTTGCCGAAGGCCAAAGTTTACCCGGGATCATTCCTAGCAGAACGTTCGAGAAAAATCTGAGAGATTCCTTCCTCCTCTGAGTTGTTGAACAACTATAAAAGAAGGAACTTAGGGTGTTACTATGAAAGGTGCGGTTGTTATAGAACAGGAAGCAGTTGCTCAGAATACAATGAACAAGGTTTACTAGTCATTAGTCGGCTGGAGGAAATGATGTGGATTATAAATCCATATGACTGTCTTATTTTCTGCCATTGATAAAAGTTTTCGGCGAAATTATAATGTTGAGCTAACATGGTAGTTTAGTACCGTTTATGCTCCTTTCCGTTTTTTCACTTCTGCTAACGAACGAACTCCAGTTGGGCGGCGGGACACTGATAATTTATTCGTAGTAATTTAGAGTACTCCTTGGGCAGCAATAAGACAAAGAATTATCGGATAAACGATCATTTAGGATTATTGAATAAGAAACTGTCTGCCACTACATCATGCACGTCCATCTCACATTCTATGGCAGTTTACGGTTAGGTGATAGTCATTCGGTTCTAACCTTATGTTAGGAAAGGAGGTCACTATCCCTTAGTTCAGGACATTCCTTATAGTACCATAGCAGGCCGATAATTCGAAGCCTATATGGTACTTTCAGCACTTACACCTTTCTGTTTCGAATTATTTTGAAGCTCGTTTGTTCCTTTGTGATGGCCGTCGGGGTATCAGAGATCCTAATTTGTATAACACAGAAGGCCTTCAAAAGTTTTCCCAAAAGAATTCCAAATTTCCGAAGAGTCAGATACTCCAAAAAACAATGTCAAGAAAATCAAGAAGATTTGGGGTCTGAAATGCGCGGAACGCGTTAATAGAGCACCTTATTCACGAATGAGGGGCTGAATTAAGTTCCCTCGCTTGCGCGGATATCTAAGTGTAGCTTCATCTTGACTGGGGCAAATTTCTATGTTACGATCAAATAGTAAATGGATCGATTACGATGATCATGAAAATCTTTTATCTTATTCTGAGTATTGAAGACCCGGACAGTAGCACCGAATTGAGTTGGAGATTGTCCTTTGTTTTCCTTTTTGCTGCTTTTCTTCCAAGTTCCTCCTATCATCATTGTTCCACATCATTCATTTTGTCAAATTTTCCGCCCTAGATCTTTTCAGCAGCTCGCTTTAAACATACTTTTTTTCTACTCTCATCGGCCTACTATCTTTCTACTGCTATCTTACTTTTCATTTTCACAACAGAATGCTAAATATTTTGCATTGAAAATAGGAAATGCGTTGTATACTTCATTCTTTCCCTGTCTATATGTGTTTAGTTATGTCTTCTGTCCGTTACCTCTTCGATTATTTTGGCCTAATCCCTTTCTGCTCTTTTTTTTCTATTCAATTATCATTTTTCTTCAGCCTCATTCGCTTTCCCATTCTTGATAATCCCCATTTGCATACCTGCTGCTTTTCATTCCCACATACTGACCGTATCCCTTGCACACTCCTGGCTGAAGTTCTATAGAAAGCTGCTTTCAATCGATTTGTTTCTGTCTTATCCATAGCCCTGGAGGCCCTTTCATTCGAAAGTTTCCTCACAAGTAGGAGTCCCAGCCGCTTCTTTATATCAGTTCGCACTCTCCAATTACCTATCTCAGTAGTAACTGATAGCCCATAGCTTCTGGGTTCGTTTCCCATTGAGCTCTGAATGTTGACTTAAGGGTCGATGTAGCTTTCTCTTTCTTGATAATCCCCATTTGCATACCAGTGCTTTTTCATTCCCACATACTGACCGTATCCCTTGCACACTCCTTTACCTCGAAACTGTTCGTGTATTTAGCTGGATCCTGACTGTAACTGGACTCCACGCTCAGGCAGGCGATCACTTCGAAGAAGCTTTGGCATTTTCCCTTGCTCTTGAAAGATGCGATAGCTTGCCAAAAACGCAGTTTTGTGGACATTGATCTGCTTTAACTCATACATCCCTTCTGAAGCACTGTCTGGAACCCTTTTCCAGAGCACAGAAGCCAGTAGAAGCGCTTGCAGACTTCTTTTATATAACATTAGTACAAGACCCCTGAGAAATTCTCGAGCAATTAGATCCTTATCCTTTTCTTGAAATATGTATTTTTTGACTTGGTAGCGTTAACTATATAACTAATATCATATGAGGAGCTCACATAAACTCGTGCTCCCAATTTCGCTCCTTTTTTCGCCCCTTCAATTTCAGGTTTCCTGAAAAAGCCGAAGAAATTAGTCACGGCGCACTTTGGTAACGCTTTCTGGTACTTAATTGGACCTTTATTAGAGAACATATATTGTAATTAGTTGAGCTCGATCTGATGGTACCTTACTCTCTGCTAACCGCTCGTGCAGAGGTTAGCGGGGAAATCAAAGTGTATCTACTAAAAGTTAATCACAGTTTGCTCGGAATTTTGGAAGGGTTTGGAATGACTTCATCTTTCTATCTTCTTCAAACTGCTTTTTAATCTTTTGCTTCCCAAATAAAACATCTACATCTAAATATGAAGTGAAACTAATACAAGAGGAGCCAACATCAGCTCGTGTCTTAAATTTCGCTCCTTAACATCGCCCTCTTCATATTCCATCGTTTTCTGTCCGCCTCGGTGCATTTTCTTTGACACACTTGCCGAAAATGCCTTTCTTTCCGACTTCTATTCGATCTCTGCAAGTTTTGCTACGCTGCTTACTAGAGCGCCAAAATGTGCTGCAGTTATTCACTTTCTTTTACCGTATCCGGCATATTTGCATATCCTTCTGATGATGAAGTTTTCTGTCTATAGCTCTTTGCTTTTCGCTCCGCCCATAGGCGAATTATCGAATCGCAGGGCCGACGAACGGGGGCTTGACGCAACTGCTGGTTAACGTATAAATTCAATGGAAGGGAGAGGCCAGGAAGAAAGGCTAGATCTTTGGATAGTCCTGTAAACCTGGGACCGTGTTCAGAAGCATCCTTCCGAGGATTGGTCCCCAAAACTCTACGTCTCTACTCTGGTTGATGACGCATCATGCGTGTCGAGAATAGGGGGATGCATCCAGAGTTTTGGGTACCCGTTCCCAGCCAGGTAGTGCTGCACTCGGCCCTTAAGTCTAGAATAAAAATTTGAATTGAAAAATAAACAACTAGTCAATTGATTTCAGACACACTTCCTATGGACCCTGCCGGATCACCTGAAATGCCTCGAAAGTGCACTGAAAGCCCACGCACTGGTGCTGTTCAGTCAACAACAATGGAAACAACTCTACCGGTAAGATCAACTTTGATACCGTAACACAGAGACTCACAGAGATTTTCGGACATTGCAGATTGTTGGAGACTCACAAGTTCAGTCCACATAATCATCCAGTACTACAAGATCTATGGTTACGAGCTCACTACACTGAAGTAAGATTTTCTCATTCTTATTGATTCTATAGAACTACCGTAACCCAGTTGGAGCTCATTGTCGTCGGCAAACATTGCGCAAGTTTAGGCAAAGTGTATGTGTATTTGCAAAATCGATGCAAATAAACAAAGATCCAGCACTCCTATATAATATTTTTCTTATTTATTTATTCTGATAGATAGATCACAATAATCAATGATTATCACTTTTTTGATTTTGAAATAGTTTCTTTAATATCTACTTAACTGGGAATGTCTACAATTACCTAAAATACCTCTTCGTAAGCGTAGAAGCTCATCTACTACATATTAGGGGGCCCACATTTTATAAGGCACATCTCACAATAATATTGTGCGTTGTGAGATAAAAGGTTAGGCCGCATGGGAAGTTTGCGAATCCAGGTATTTGCTGGCGAATCACGGAGTACGGGCGATGCGCCAGCGGGTTGAACTATGCGCCAGCGAATCGAGCTATGCACAGCGGTTCGAACGATATATCAGGAACTCGCAGTGCTTGAAAGTGGCGGAGTTGCTTTTGCACGTTGACTCTCGCGACCTTTTTTTCGGAGGAGGCGGTCATATGTCGCGATCCCATTGGCATTACAAGCGTATAGACTTTGCTCTATTCAAATGCGGTCGAACATTTTGTCAGTATCACTAAACTACTAACTATCGCGCCATGCCCACACCCCTTTTCGGGCCCCACGTGGACACGAGAGAGGGCATGAAAACCCGAGAAATTGGTGACAGACAACTGCGAACGAGAGGGTTTCCTACTATGTATCAAACACTGCCGAGTCGCCGGTACATACAGTAGCGGTCAAAAGTGTTCGCCGAAACGGTTTTTCGTGCTTCTTTTTTTTGCCAGAAAAAATCAATGGTGACCTCGAAATTTTTTCTTTTGAATATCCTGATTCTTTAAGACTTGAGGATATAAAAACACTAGAAAACATAGTATATCAATCTTTGGAGGACGTTGCTCAAGCGAGAAAAAATAATGCACCGAAAATCGTTTCGGCGAACACTTTTGACCGCTACTGTAGTTCGAACCGCTGGTGCATCGATCGTACCCCGCGAATTGCTAGTGAATCGCTGGATTAGCAAAGTCTGACACCAGCCTTGGAACTACCAAAAAAAAAACTTTTTGCAGCATAGCTTATTGGAAGGACTGTGCGAGCTCAATCGAATAAAGGCTGGTGCACGGGCTAAGGGTCCAGAAGGAGCGAAATAGAACGAGAGGCGAACTGATGTAGCAGAGCATGAGCTTGGAGCGTGGACTTCATATATGGGTGGAACTGCGTGCGTAATAAACTGTTAGCGCCTGTGTATGCTGCGAGAGTCCTGTTTGGCATTCTAGAGTAGTAACTGGCCGTATTTGGTGTAATTGAGAGGGTATTCTCTCGAGGTAAGGATCCTTTTGAGGAATTGGGCTTAGTCAGAATATGTTTATAGCTGAGCTGACTTTTTTGGAAAGATCTAGTATGAGGCTGGTGTCAGAGTCCGCGATTCATCGCGCGACGGATGGCCCGACCAATACTGCGAGGTGCTCTCCAATTCCCCCGCCATTTCTGCTTGATGGTGATGGTTGAATGACGACTGTTCATGATTCTACTTGTTTCATATTCAGTGTTTCAAATGTTCAAATGGGGCACTTGCGATTTTTGCGATTGTGCGATAGCGCAAAACGCGCGAATCGCGACGGATCGCGGACCATGATACCAGCCAGCCACAGTGAAATATCCTTGCAAAATCGTGGAAACTTTCAGAAATTCTGCAATTTCGAGATTTTCCCGCTTTGTTTATGGAATATGTTCTTATACATCTCCCCTCACTCGTCTCAACGCATACGAAATTTCCGAGGAAGCGCTAGATTGAGGAGAATGAGAATAAGCTTTGGAGATAGAGTGAGCCGAGGGAATCTAGTTGGAGAATTGTGCTAGCCCTGGAAAAGGTCTGTCAACGCCGAATTTTCTCAACGTCTCACATCCTTGAAGCGGTCAGTGGCACAACGTGGATGCTTTCACATAATCCCACTCCCTGAGTGGAAAATCCCAGAAAACAAAACAGCAGCAGCCGCTGAATGTGAATTTAAATGCAGAAGTTGAAACAGAGATTTTTTTGGATTCTGTCAATAATTCAAGAAACCTATTGGTACAATACTAATCGAGTTTTTGAATACGGTAGGCACGAATGTATGGTGGGACTTGAGCTCACTGCTTTGATGTCACGAGAATCGACCGCCTAACCCCTTCTTGAAGGGCTTCTCTGTTGGTCGATAGAGTGTATTCAAAGGATCCAGCAGGAATATTAGGCGTTTCAGAAAGTTCTGTCGTTTTCCGACCCCGAATTTTGAAATGCATGTATCTCGGCATAACCTAAACCTTTCAAGCTGATTAAAAACCATTCGAATGCGCGAACCTTTCTCTATATAAGGAACCGTTCTACTGGGAACGTTTGTCCAGAATGATATCATATATTATATCCTACATTTTATCATCCATTTTATAAAAAATATAAATATAATAAAAGAAATAATAAAAAAATAAATAAAATAAATAAATGTAAGTAAAAAATAATAATAAAACTAAATACAATAAAAAATATAAATATGTAAAAACAAGATAGTGATTATCGATTTCCCACGATGGGAAGGGGGTGGATGCCATCTACTACGTACATTTTGCGCCTATCGTATCAAAAATCGATGTGCCCCTCCGACTACCATTGCACCAATCCGTGTTTAGACATCGCTTTTTAAAGTTACGATTTTTGATCTTGTTGATCTACTCCGCATATTTTTGAATGCTCAACTCACAAAATCACCGTGATGATTTTTTTTTTGAAAGAGAGGCTTTTACACTGAAGACTGCCGTCATACCGTTATCTCGGTATTTTTTATGCTTACCTTATTACCAATCTTCTGCACTTCAGGGATTTGGTTACACCAACTATTATTTTGTTACAGATCCCGAGCAATCCAACTAAGCATGCACCACAGTACAACCACTCCAAAGACCCATAGTATTTTTCCACACCCCGAACAACAGTCCCCACGATTAAAGGAATATTCTCCACTCTGACAAACGTGAACGCGCAACAAAATCACTTCTGCCCGTCAGTTTCAAAAGAATAGAGTTCGAAGGTCGAAGCTCGAAGAATGGGCAATCCTTACCCAGTGGAAAGGCGAGATGCGAGACCCCCTCAAAGGATGTGCGCACCGCCACCGCAATTCGAGCGCGCAGAATACTGCACCGGTGATGGCCTTAGCAATCGCGCCGGCCCGCCGACGCACAGTCTGTCAGATACGACCACGCCCATTAGACATGGCTAATCACTCAAACGCGGATCCTTAGCCGTCTAGCGAGGAGAGCAGCAGCATTGCAGCGCGGAAATCAACGGGGAAGGCAAGAGGATCCTATTACTATTCTGCAGCCGATTTCTCGCACTTTTCCCCATCCCAGCACCGCTGTCACGTCTACCTTAATTCTAAAAGATGTTTTGTAATTAAATACCTCGAAAGGAACATCTTGCAATCTTATACAGTATCAATGAACATAGATTAGGGAAAACTTCATATTAGAGGCAAAAACTTCCTTTTCAAGTAAGACAGTAAATACTCCATAAAGGCTAACAGTAGACACTCCATGAAGGTCACTAATCACAATTCACAATCACTAATTAGTCACTACTTTATTGTTTTTTTATTTTTTATGCATATTTTGTGTGAAGACATCACGAAACCCCATGACAGGTGCAATGCTGTCAGGATCCAAGGTTTATATAGCGGAGCGTACATAATTGGCGGCATGTGCGATTAGGCCGATTTATCTCGATTAGGCAATGATTCACAAAGAAATGCATACATATCGATTAGGCGATTAGGGGAGTAGGCAAGCAGGCGAGGGGAGAAGGAATTGATTTGCAGCTCCATTCCACAGACAGCGACTCGCCTAGTCGGCCCTCTTCCTACAACGCTTTATGGGCGGAAAGGCAAATCCACTCAGTTCACGTATGTACTTGCCCCGCCTAACGCCTCACTCCGGCACTCGCTCAAAATCGCCCCAGTTATAGATATATTTTCTTTTAGACAATCATACTAATTCGCACGTGATATAGCCAACTCTGAACCACATCCAATCTAGATGAGTGGTTCTTCAAAGAATGAGGCGATTGAGGAGGTTGCTTATTTTGGTGCGCAGCCGTTCACTGCAGGTAATTCGGCTCAAAATGGAGAAATGAGGGTATTAACCCTTTGGACGACGTATGGCCCGCAGCGGCAGAGGCCACCACCAAGTCGGTTCGTGTGGCGGACCTCATGCGCGCGCCGGGCGCGGCCATGGCCAAAAACCAACTTATCTATGTATTTCCCTCCGTTTTGCACATATATTTGGATATTCTCCAATGAACTAATTATGTGCACAATTGATCTCAACAACGCTATGTTACACGATGCGTCACTTTAACTTTATACTAACGAGAAACCATCAGCTTTCTATTGCTAATATCAGCAAAAATAGCATAATTACCAAATAAGAACGCAACGCATGTGGTAGTTTTTGAAAATCGAGAGCAGTAGTCCTTGTGCCAATTTTTACCACACTACTAATATTCCTTGCATGATTGAGTCGATAGGACCTATTCGTTGCGGGCTGCACGACAACTGTTTGGTCTTGTGAAAAATATTGTCAAGTAGGTTTAATACAAATAAAGGTGTAAGTAAAAGTTGGAGGTCTACCAGGTGCAGCAGGCGGCTGCCTTCAAAAACCCTAAGCCATACCCAAGGTTCCCATCGAAGTAAATTGGAATTCAGCGTGTGGTAGTAACCGTCTAGTGAATAAGTTTACTTATTATCGACACCATGCTAGCTAAAGAAAGAAGCTGGAAGAAGCATTTGTATTAAAATCTAGTCGATTTTTTGAATGCAAGTTTTGTGCAAGAAAACAGATTGTTTTTTAGTGATTGCTATTTCAACAGTACATCAAAACACTTATGAATTCTGAGGTCTTTTCATTAGTCTTCTTCATTGCTTCGCTGATAGTCTGTCTGCAGTTTTAAGAATGTATGGTTGATTAGTAAGATGATTTACTGTAGAAAGTTTGCAGTTTAGTCAATGCTGTTATAATTAAGCAAAAATGCGGTCTCCTGGGACCGTATGGCCCGCCGGCGGGCCACATGCGTGTCTGGCGTGCGGTCCCACACGCTAGACACGTTTAGAGCGCGCGGTCGTCAAAGGGTTAATCGAGGTGATTAAAGGCAAGATGCAGGATTGAATTATGAGCTAAAAATTCCACTGTAGATGTGAAAGTTAGGGTGTAATGGGTAGTGGACCGCACATTGCCAGAAAAGAGTGACAAATGATCAGGGGAATACGAGCCATTCTCCACTAGTGCGGTGGCGGGGAAGAAATTTCAAAAGGGCCGGCCAGGAATAATAAATAGTACAACGAATGTGAGCGCGGAGAGCGCTAGAGAAGTCTAAGTAGAGAGAGAGCATAGCAGATCAACATTCCGACGCAGTCAAGATATCGAGCGGTGGGCGGAGCGTGTCGCAGCAGGTGGAGCGTGTCAAAGTTCTTAGAGCCTAGCGTCTAAATAACGGTTTTCGAAGTAGGGAAGTGACGCGACCCCTACACTTGCGTGCCTAGCGCTTCTAGCCACCGTAAAGGCTCATTAAGTGGGTCTGAGCCCGAACTTTGCCTTTAAAGCGCGGTTGGCTATGCAAGTGAACAAGAGTCAACCACTATGTCGTATGCTTTGGGGCCTTAGTCACGTCCATTTACCACCTACTAAATCAAGCGAAAAATGAACACATTGACCCTGTATATACTTCTTTTCTTTTACAGTCTTTACCCCTTCATTAATTTTAATATCATTACTCATCTTGTACAAGTGTAGTATCCAAATCCGATGAGGTATATGCATGGTTTTTGGGATTTCATGAGAAATGAAGAACAAAACAAGGTCTTCACGTCGACAATGTTTGACACAAGCCAACGTGCCACGCTGCCGTTAATGTGTTGAAGGTATGTTAGTCTGCTGTGGATTCACAATAACAATATTCGGTTACAGGTTCTTATCTCCTCTGCTTCGCGTTTACGGACTACTTGATTTTTCCTCAATGGTCCTGCCGCGATGGCTAGAGCACAGACGATTAGAGAACGGGTGAATGCCCTAGGACTAAGCCTTGGAGAGGAGAGGGACCCGCGAGAGAGCGCAGAGGAGGTTTAAAGGGCTGAGTTCAAGTAGTCCGTCGACCCTCTGCTTCACAGCTCCTTCTGATCTTAGATAGAATGACAAAAGAGGAATGGGCCTAGTTTTAATGAACTCTTGCGAAATGTCCTCTTACATGGATCCATTCCCTATGGGGATTGTGATGACTGAATGGCTGTTTAGCCCACATAAGGGCCTTCGGTACCGCCAATATCCAACTCAGTGATTTTTGGATTTCTAATAGTGTCTTCTAGCAAATTTTCATGAAGTAAAGAGGGCTGGAACTCGGCTTGGTTGACCTGGGTCGGTCATGAGATCCATTGCGGCTTAAGTTTTCGGATCGGCGCGGCCGTGACACTGCCACTTCAACAGTTCTAAATTAGGTCTCAGATACCTTGTGGAAAAAACAGATCCCCCGAATTTCGAGTTCCTTTGATCTTTTTGAATATGATTTTTGAATATGAATACATGCCCAAACCCCCTCACGACCTCTCCTCGGTAGACGTACAATTCTCATTCCAATATTTGAATTGTTCCGCCTATTGTTCGCTTATCTCTACATTAAGACTAACAATATGAAATTTATTTGTGGTTAATATTTCTCTTTCCTTTCATTAGCAATAAATCCCTCGGCGCTTGAAGAGCATTGAAGAGACAAATACAACAAAACTACCACCCACGCTTTCGTTTTAAAAAATCTGAAACCGTAATTTTTTTAGGAAGCCAGTCACCTGATTAATTATTAATCCTTATTAATTTTCCTTATATTATTATAACTATTATTCATTTTTTCGAATGAAGTAAATAAAATATTAGTTAGTAGATAAAATAATAAAGTAACGATAATTTTTTCAATAATTTTATGGTTATCGAATGTAACGCTGCTCAAAAGCTTCTCGAATTTTTGAAAAATCAAGTAAGTAGCAAGCAAGGTTAATACAAATGCCAAATATAGTCAGTAAAGGTAAAAAGTAAACAGCAAAAACCGCAGTCGAGCAAAAGTTGAAAATCATAAATGTATAGAAAATAAAAATAGCGTCCCAGAGGATCGTACCCTCAAAAATGAAATTGGTACATACGTATAAATTTGATCGATTTAATCTTAAATGGGTTATCACTCAACTACGGTAGTTTTACCTTTGTAAATACTCATTTATTAAAGTAAAATATGAGGTCATTCAGGCTGAAAAGACGAAGGAACGTGAGCTGGGTGCCGTCTGCAAGTACCGTATCCGCAAGAAGAATCCCTTTCCGGCTACTATTTGGGACGGTGAAGAGACGAATTACTGCTTTAAGGTCCTTTGTTTTCTTAACCATGTTTTATTGATTGATTCAATCGATTGGTTTTTAGTCAAAATCGCGTAACGTCCTGCGAGATGCGTATAAAAAACAGGCTTATCCATCCGTGGAAGACAAGAAACGATTGGCAGCTCAGACGGAACTCACCGTCACACAGGTCTCAAATTGGTTCAAGAACAAACGACAACGTGAACGAGCCGCTGGCACGTTGGAAAAGTGAGTAGTAGTTTTTTGGGGTAATTCGTGATAGGACCAGCCAGCCAGCCATTTCAGGTGGGCTGAGAGGTCGACGCCTGTTTGTATTAGGTATGAGAAGGTTGCTGCTTAAGTGCCTATACTATGATGTAATCGAGCCCAGGGTTCTGTTTGGATTAGTGCACAGATCATTGACTTGAACGTGCAAAACCACTCCTGGGTGGAAAGCAATTGGCTCAGAGGGACTGTGGGCCAAGGATTTCCTGAATTGCACTGATAAATTCGTAGTAACAAATAATAGTTTATGCATATAGCCTGGGACTGCCCAGATATCCCCTTAAAAGGGCAGAACGAATTTGA